CTGCTCAGATGACAAGCCTCAGCTTCAGTGTGAGCTCAGGCAGGGAGTGTATGTGTGTTTGGGTGCTGTGTGCCTCTCGTCGCTTGCTGCTCAGCTGCTTCTCACTTCTTTATTTTTGGCAACTAGCGCTAATAATGCTAATGCTATCTTTAGCTTCGCTAGCACCTTCCCTGCAGTGGCGTGTGTCTAAGCTCACAGTGAGAGCTGAGTTCTGCTTAAAGCTAAAAATCATTAAGCAAAATCTTTTTCTTGACAAATGTACTTGATTAATTTAGGTTCTTTAGATTTGCACTGAAGTTACAAGGCTAACGTAGCTAACGAGTAATGGAAGCTTCTACCTCACCAATTAGCATCATGCAAACTGCATACTGCAACACACGTTTGGCTCAAACCTTGTTGAGTTGTTTAGTAATCTCAGATAGACTTTCTTTTGTAGGTTCTGACACTATTGGACATACTATTATGCATAAAATAACCCTAAAGCCTAACCCTAAAGCCTAACCCTAAAGCCTAACCCTATGGCTGCTACTACTTAGAAACTAAAGAAGCAAATGTTGGACAACAAACATGCCTTGGCTTACTGACAGCATTTGAATTAAGGGGGGGAAATGTGTAAATTTAATTCAAAGTAGCCTCCTGACAAAGGCTGCTACCTATGGGAGGTCAGATGGCATTCTACAGAGAACTGTGTGCTTGTTTGCTTGCCTGGACACTGGTGTTGGTGACTTTGTGCAATCTGAATATTGTAGTGATTCCAAACAACTGGTCAGCGGGTCTCAAATTGACATAATACGTTTTTTGAATTGTAGAAAATTCTTTTTTGTTTTTTGGTTGGACTTTTACTCAGTTTCCCTTATTTAGTCATGGCCAGTTCCATCCATTAGCTAGGTCTCCCCCATCACACAATATTACCAAGCTGGGAAGTTGAGGCCTAAACACATGCTTCCTCCAAGATGGGTGAATCACCAGCTTATCTTTTCAAACTGCTTCTACAGCAACGGCATTGGACAAGCTTAACATGCTTGTATGAGCTATCTGCCAATTGTGTTATGCTGGCCAACAGACACTGCGTTGGCTAGCGTTGTGTTGAGTTGATGGCGGAGGGCCATCCTAACCACCCAGAGATAACAAGGACAGTTTTGGACTTCCGATCACGGATGGCTGTGGCGTCACCGGAGAACTTCCAATCTCCTGACAGCAGGACTTTTTTGTGAAATATTGAATACAATTTTTTCTTTCTAGGTAGCTGAATACAAGAATATGACCAAATTATGTAGTCAGATATCTGTATTTCTAGATCTTAAACTCAGTCTTTAGCATTACCAGTGACATTAGCCATCATAGCCTTCTGTGCATCCCACTTCTGAACTCTGCTGCGATCTCTACGTTTCCGAGCATGCCAGATTAGCTGATTATTGTGTTTTCTCTTCCTTTTCTGTGTTCAGTTGGATTTTGGCAGTGGGGAAGGGACTTACAGTCAGATTGCGTGATTAAAAATGTACATTGAGGATGCAGTGTTTGAGCCACGCGTGACATATATCTCTATTTCTCTCATTGTTTGTGGACTGACAGCATGGCTAACAAATAGAGCAACCCACTGAGAATTGCCCGCTAGTCCCTCTTGCTGTCCATCCCAGTAGTGGATGTTCTGTACAGTAAACCCTCCTACGTCCTCCATCTTCTTTTGTTTCAACAGTTGCTGCCAAAACATATGATATCAGCCTCTATCTGTGGTCTGCAGCGAGAGAACCACAGCTTTCCACTGCGAGAGATTAATAGCGAATAAGACCGGTACATTTGCCTGGGCTTAAGGGCGTATGTTCAGTGCGTGTGTTCTTTTTTCCCATGGATCTGTGCTAAAGCCGGACTCTAAGCGGCCGATGGCGATGGGGATGGGGAGGGAGTGAGAACAGGGCTGCTGTAATCTGGTATTATCCACCAAAGGCCTGCTGCTCTTGCAAGCAATGCCAGAGACGAGGGCTGAAACATTTGTGATGTTTGAATACTATTTGTTTAAAATGCAGATATTTGAATAAGCAAAAACTTTTAAAAACTCTAACAATAAAGGCTTATTGTTAATTGTCATTGCAATATGGCAGTATTGCGAGACCAGTAACACAGGAGGCTGCAGTATGCACACTATTTTTTTATTGTGTGCTGTTTCAAATGGGATCTTGATAAATCAAGACATTTACATGATCCTGTGCATATAGAAGTGGAACATATTGCAAGGCGTATCTCAATTTCTGTGTGTAGTGATGCTTGTTGCGATATGAGGTTTGTACATGTTGTACAGCTTTACCACAGATATATCTAGACAGCCACCATTGGGTGCTAACACACAACATATGTGGTGTCAGAAAAGCTGCTACTGCAGTGCTGCAGTGAGGAGAGCGTGCAGCTAGTACCGTGCAGGTTTCTGCAGGGCTGGGAAGAGTGCTTGAGTCCAGAGTTCACTTACTGCAGGGCTGTTATTCTAAACCTCTCTAAAGTAGCGACTTTACATAACATTTATGCTACAAAACATTTTCAGTTGATAGTTGCCGTTTAGCTTAGATCTATGTGTGGAAAAAAGGCCTGCAATTTTCTACAGGTCACAAGCATGCTAGCTTTTGGACAGTGAAATTTAACAACAACATTCATTTGGGTGCAGTGAAAGGTTTTGCACTGTGCGCTTCTACAGTGTGAAAAAGTTGACATCAGCGTCTTTGCATTAGCACCATTTACCAATAGCGCAACTGTCAGCTGCACCGACCTCTTTTTTTTTTACATATCAGCGTTCAAGATTGCTAATTGGTAACACTTTACTTGAACCCTGCTACATAACATGGACGTAACCATGCCATAAACATGTTATGGCAGCTGTCATATGTGGTCATGGTTTGTCCTGACAGATTTTCTTCAGTAATATAACAATATATGTCATGACAGATGACGGAATGTTTGATGTCGTAACAGCTTTTGCCATATGCTAATTTTTGCTACAGTAGTTAAGACAACACTAGTTATTCATCATGACATCAAACATTATGACATCTTTTATTGGTAGTTTGACATGTCATGTCATGTAGCAGGGTTCAAGTAAAGCATTACCTGCTAATTTGAGCAAAGTTTAGACACAACATTTTATATGATATTTCCCAACCTGACTGTATATTAACACATAAAAGAGAGCCAGGATGGTACGCAGTCGTTAACAGGTTGGATTAGAGGGTGTAACTTTGTTTACTTTGGTCTGTTTACAGTTTATGGTTGGCGAGTTGCTAACTGCTGCCAAATTGAGGGGTTTTTTTTTCACCAGTCTTTCAGTCTCGCCTTGGTCATTTCTGTTTTGCAAGGTGACAAGCTGCAATTTTCTAGTGTGACTGCACCTTTAGGCTGTATAGCCCAGGCTTATGATGCAGTTATTAATATTAACACTATTTACACACATGAAAAATGTTGGATATCAGCATATTCCCATATCGGAGCATATTTCAAAATTATATTTCAAAAACTTCTATGTAAGTAATGTAAGTCATGCAGTTATGAGAGTGAGAAATTGGAGTGTGGACCCACATCAAAAGTCATGTAGCTTTGGTCTACAGAGTCTAGGGACAGATCAGCTAAACATGCTAACTTGGCTAACACTGAGTGGAAGGTGGCAGACACCAATTAGCATTACAATGTTAGCTTCTTTTTTTGCCTGAACTTGTCCTTCAAGGCTTACTTCTAGACTAAACAGCATTTTCTAAGGTGTGATGTGTATAATTGAATGGTTTCATTCCAAAAATTATTATAAACCACTGTCACGAATTTTCTTTTTCATGATATAAATTGTTGGGAGTAGGTTTACGCATACAAGACATACCAATATGTCTATATTATGATTTAATAGCACCTTTTTTAGAGAAATACACATTGTGTCTCTATAATATGTCAGCTGTTCTTTTCGACAGCTAAAATATCCAGAATTATAATGCATATACAGCATTTTGGAGTAATTTGGAGCAACTCTCAAATTACATGTAGGCCACAATCTGAACAGTGGTCGATAAGCATGGAAAGGAGGCTGTGGACAGTGATGGATGGAACAGTTGGCGAGCTCCTGCAGGCAGAGTGATCAGAAGTAGATCAGCGTCCAGGAACTTTTTGTCCCCGACACTGGATTTTATGTCAGTTGTCATTTCATGTCACGTGCGACGTGTTTATAAATACAGTTTGTCAGTAGAGAGTAGAGAGTCCTTCTCTTCTCCTTGTTTAGGAACTGAAGGGGTGATGTGGGGTGGGTGGGAGTAAACATTCCCCCTGCGTCCACACACATCTGTGGGATTGTTTTCATCAGAGCAGCAGGGGATGCCCTTCTGACATTTATAGCAAAGTAGAAAGAGATGTTACCTGACACACACACACACACAGGCACCCTGTCTGCAGAGTGTCCTAGAGGCCTCCGATTTCTCTCTGCTGGTACCGCACAGTTGGAATGGGATCCACTGCGCTGATGCTTTATAAACACAGTGTGCTCACGTGAACCAGCACGGAAGGAATGTCCCAGCATGCTCTCGGCCACATTAATACACTCCCTGTAATCCTATAATGCTCAGGCGACAGGTCACCATGGTGCGGCTCTGTGTTTGTATTGTGCTAGAACACTGGCTATGTCCAAAACTGTGCCCTGTTTATGTAGTGCACTTATTTGTGAGTCTGTCCTTTTGCAATTGTGTCTGAAAACATTGTGTACTCTTACAATCCCATAATGTACTGCAGTGCACCATGTATAAACCTGTACCCTAGCAGACACAGAACACCCATACAGTGTCGTATCTGACAGACTGTGGCTACTGAGTGATGATCAAACCATACCAAAATCGATTACTTTAATCAGGATTTCTGTTCACTGTAATAGTGTTCTGTGTCATGCTCTAAAGGGAATAGTGACTAGGGAACAGTTTCAAATACAGTGACTGATTTTCTCTCTCTCCTCTCTCTCTCTCTCTCTATTTCTCTCTCTCTCTTCTCAGGATCGAAGCAGAATGTATGACAGTCTTAACATGCACTCACTGGAGAGTTCTCTGATTGACATCATCCGGGCAGAGCAGGACCCTCTCAAGGGTAAGACCCACATCCTGCTTCCTGTGGACTAATAAGCAATCTGTCCAACACTCAACCAAGTAACTCCCAATGTTCAAAAATCTCCAGCCTAGATGGAAAAGTTGTTACATAACATGCTGGATTACACCAAATGTAGTTGGTCAGCCAAGACATGTTTGGTGTCTGAATTTTGCTTTTTTAGTTTTGAACTGGTGCTAATAATCAGTTAGTCCAGCGATTATTATGCGCTTACCTCAAACTGCGACATGTTATTAAATAATCTCAAATAGCCTTGCTGAAGTGGTTTATGACACTGTGGCACATACTGTTGTCTATACAAATGGACAAAAATGTGGGATGATTTGAGAAGTATGGATAAAAATCAGGCTCAGAGATGACTGCTACTACCAAATATGGCCTGTGTTGGCTAATTAGCTACCTCTAGGGTAATTTAGTGTATTAAAGCTACACTATGTAAAATTTAGGGATTTGGAGGTGGTAATGTGTAATTGCACACAACATGTGGAAGAATACTTTGTATTGTAGGTTGTGTTTCGGACCCTCTTCCTGAGCAGATGAATCTGATGATTGCGAGCGCGTTGAAATTATTGAAAAAATAACTCATTCAAACCTTAGTAAGCAACATAATGTTGATTTTGCATTTGAGATCTAAACATCTAGTCGGATCTTCGTTTTGAGCCTGTGCATATGTTGTTAATACGTAAAGACATTTTAATGTGGTCCGAAAAATTCGACCTGACAGCTCTTCAAATGATCATTTCAGGCTTACAGGGTGGCTTGCAGCAGCGCAGACGCACCATATTTTAGTGTATCTTCGTTCTCCTGACCTAATAATGCTACTTATTTCAATTTTAACAGAAAATGTTGCATAGTGCAGCTTTAGGTAATAACATCTTTTAAATCTAGAATGGATATTTTTTTAATGTGGGTTAAGGGGAAAAATTATACAAATTGGAATTGTTTAGTTTGCTGTCTTGTACACATTGTTGACCAGGGCTCAAGAGGTGTGGGTTCTATAGGGAAGCTCATAAAAGGCTTGGCAATTAGCTATAGAGATAATATAGACTTGTGAGAGCGGGGAAAATGGAAAATATTTAAGATGTTCACTAATGTGGATCTCTAAGAGCAATTCTGAGGGCTGCTGTCTTAGCTCAGGGATCTTCCTAAGCCACTTCCTTTGCAATCACAGAGTGTCCTTGTCTGTTGTTCTGGGATTTGAAGCAGAGTGTTAGTGTGTAACATGGGAGTGGCAGAGTGCTGCAGTGCTGCTCTCTCGCCCTCTCTATCTCCATTTTCTCACCCAGTCTGCACGAGCAGATGGAGCAGACATACGGGGCGGCGCTCACTGCAGAGAGAGAGCGAACGAGAGAGAAAAGAATAACAGATTCTAATTCTAAATCAGCCCTACGACTTACTTTCTCCCAGTGTTTGAGATGAATAGTTGATTATATTTGGAACATGCAGTCCTTTGAATGGAGAAGAGAGAATAAGAGAAGATGGGGATAGAAAAACAAATCAAAGCATTTGAAAAGTGTAATATTAAAAGAGACTCTAGAAGGGGAAATGTCTGCCTGAACAGTAATGCTAAAGTAAGCTGTAGCTGTGGGATTAACTAGTATAGCTTGTTAGCTGAGGAGAAAACCGTTGCTGTTGGAACAAAACCTCACATCTTAAGGAAAAACGTTCTGAAACTTTAATGAAAGTAAATGGAAAAATGTTCTTTCTAAGTAATTTTGGACCATTTCTGTTGATCCGTTCATCATGAAATTTTGACACAACATGAAGGGCAACTGCTTTTTTTTCCAAATTATGCCAAAAATGTGAAAAATAACAAAAATAGAGATACATGGTTTTGTCCTGACAGCAGCGAAATGCTAATATAAATGCACTGAAGACAGAAAGAAGCTCTGTGTGAATAATTCTGAAATGACTGAACGGAAAAGTGGATTTGCACTGGAGCTACGAGGCTAACAAGCCTAATGGAAGTCTGTACCACAGCAATTAGCATTGTAAAACATGCCTGAATCATCAGACGCTCACCTCCAAAAGTGTCAAGTTGTTAAATAACGTCAAAGACTTGCTAATGTAGTGTCTGACACTGTATATCTTACTGTTATCTAGAAAAATGGACAAAAGTACATTATTTTCAGGCTCCTACTACTGTTTTAGCTACACAACATACTTCTGTCTATGCTAGCAGGTGGCTAAGCTTTCATTACTAGCTACATTAGCCTTGTAGCTCTTGTGTAAAAGTAAAGAAGCAAATTTCAGTCCATTTCAGATTATTTAACTTGATGTGGCTTCAGGCAAGTGTTTGTGAGGATTTAGGGCAGCAGTTAGCACAATGCTAATTGTGAAGATGCACTGGATATATAACCTACAGACTCTGGCAGCTAAGAATGCGCTAGTGCTAGTCACTGTGTAGTGTAGAAAAAAAAACAAAACAGTGGGACTTGAGAATGACAAGAAGTTTGTTTGCAGTTTATTTAGTCCACAAAACAGTAGCCCATGTGGTGTTTCCAGAAGTTTCAGTGGATAAGCACACGACAGATGGTTTGTGTGTGTTCTTAGAGCACACAGTTTCACAAACACGGTGATAAGAGGTGTTGAAGGACTTCCAGCAGATGTTAGAGCATTTTAAGCGCGTGCTTTCTCTAGTCACCCTCAGAGAGGATGCTGTGATAACAGATTTGCTTGCAACATTTGCGAATGTTGGTGAATGTGGATTGGTGTGTGTATTTAAATATACTGATATCTGGACTGGTCTTAGTATTTGGATATTCAGTCAGGCTTGTAGTGCAGTAATGAAGTTTTATCATGGAAAGGTTTTGTGTGTCGCATCTCAAGCAGCTGATGTTGTGTCTCATGCCGAGTAAACCGATAAGCAGAGCTGTATATGGAAACATTTCAAACAAAAAGAAGACAAATTTGTACAAGTGACAGTTATCGCTATGTATTATGTGTTTTAACAACTGTCAATAGGCAAATATATATACTCATACATCTAAACCACAAAGCTTAATCACTAAATTAACCCAGGTACAGATGAGCTCTCTCAGCTCTCTAGTTACGTGCAGAAAATGAATGTTAAACCTTGCCTTTTTTATACCCAATTTTCTCCTGAATTTAGTCATTTAGTCACGTCCAATTAAACCCACTAGCTAGGCTTCCCCGTCACACAGTGCTACCAGGAAGACTAGCATGTAGTGGTAAAACGCACAAAGCTCCACCTCATCGTTTCAAACTGTCGCAAACACAAGTGATGTGTGGGACAGGGAGGGCCTTACTACCCACTCAGAGAACAAAGCCAGTTATGCTATGGACCTGGCCATTGATGCATATAACATCACTGGGGAGCATCTCGCAATCTCAAAGTAACAGGGCTTCAGATCTGGACCTGGGATCCAGTTTCCAGTCATAGATTTTGTAATCACTGTTGATCTGACTGATTGGCCATCTAGTGTCCTACCACTTACAAAATCCAGGACTGGAAATTGGATTCAGGGTCTGGATTTAAAGACAACTGGTTTGCCCTATCATTTGGAGATTGCAAGATGGTCCCCAGTGACGCCATAGTCATCCTTGGCCAGGAGTCCAAGAGAGTATGATTGGCCTTGCTGTCTCTGAGTGGGTAGAACAACCCTCCCTCTCCCACATCACTAAATGTATTCCTAACCAACATGGGCATCTGTTAGTCACTCTGTAATAACAATATAAAACGTTTTCTCATTGGGATATTAAAATGCCAGTCACGAGCACTCAGTTCAAGCTAATGAAACATCTCTAGAGAAAAAAGAAAGTGGCATTAGAGTGTTGTTGCTGGGCATGTTCAGGCTGGTTTAGTCACTGATCTGGAAGAAAATTAAATATGTTTCTATGGAACGTACCGTGAAGGCCTTTGGAGGATTTAAGTAAGAGGAAATAAGCAGAAGGATTACCCCATTAGATAACCTTGAAGACTTTGTCTTTTATGTTGCGTGAACTCTGGACGTGACAGTAAACACCCATATTGCTCATTTGTCCCTGTGTTTCATGCAGCTCTGTTTGTGTGTCTTGTTTCTCTCTCACGTTCAGGCCGCATGGGATGTCCACATCCTGGTGGCGACGGCCTGCTCATGCTCAATGGTAATTATATCACCCAGTCACATCTCTCTCTGCTCCGTCCCACTGACCCTGTCGTCTGTAATACAATAACATTGTGCTTAACACAGTATCTGTCTCTATTAGAATATTGAATTTTCAGTGTAAGTGGTTAGTAGTTTAATAAGACCATATGTAATGACCAGCAGGTTGCTAAAATGATGAACAAACATAATAATACATGATTGTACCATGTAATTTTACTGTGTATACGTATTGTAGGTAGATATTTCTTAGAAGTATATACAATTCAGACTGCTTTTGTTCCACATCTGACATCTAAGGGACAAGTTTAACCTTTCAAACCCGAAGCCCACAGTTGGTGGGCAGTTTACATGGCTATTTTTAGGCATCATAGCTCAGGAACAGGTTAAACGGGTTAAGTTACAGACATGAAACAGATATCACAATAGTCAGCAGGACTTACTCTGTCTGAGTGGGTACACTGAGGTAAGGCAAAGCATCTGCGAGTGATCCAACTCGAGAAACGACGCAAAATCCACTCTGTACCCTAAAATTATATCTGTTTTTAGGCATCATAACTCAGGAAGGGCTTAAGTGACAGGCATGGTACACACATCATAACAGTCCACCCTTTGCACTGTCATGGGTTCACTGAGGTGTGGCAAAGCATCAGCTAATAATCTGGTTCAGAAAACGACCCAGAAAGTTAACCAACCAAACATGTTTTCATGATTTATCCCACCTTAGATTTTTTGTAGAAAACCCCTTCAGCTGTTCTTCACAGTTTCCCTGAACGCATTTAAACATTTTAGAGAGGACACGTTTCAAGTTGCCACTTAAGCTGGGGTCACTGGAGAGGTTTGTTGATAGGTCCACGCATGCTGTGTTAGCAGTTTTCCACCATTACATTGGTCTTGTGCAATCTCACTGTTTTCTTCTCTGCCCCATTTCTGGTTGCGCCAAAGCCCTTGACGTTGGCGTCATACTTGTTCACCACTGTTGTCTACATTAGCTCTGAAAGCTGTCAGATTCAAGGTGGTTTTGATGTAGTAAAGCTCTGGCGCACATGGACCCAAATTTATCAGACGTCTTAGGAGTAAGAGTGCTCACCAAAGTCATATTGTATAGCTTATCTGCAAACGTGTTTGCAAACTGGTAATATTCTGTTTATTATCAACATTGTTAGCTTTATGTTTTGGTTTATACACTTTTCCACTTAACCCAGATGTAATCAGCCAAAACATGTTTAGTGTCCAGATTTTGGCTCTTTTGTTTAGTGCTGAAACAATGATGCTAATTGCTGTAAACGTATGTAAATGATGCATATCGCATTGCAGTTTACTAGCTTTCTTCAGAACTTTTTCTGGCAAAATACACACCTGGGCAGCCCATTCACAGCATCTAGACCACCCTTAATCTGCTTCCTGCATGGTCCTAAAAACTGTCTAACAAGGGTTCCAAGTGAAACCGTATAACAATGGCACTTTGCAACATTAACGAAACATCTCTACATTGTTGTCGCTGGGCAAGTTCAGGCTAGTTTAGTCGCTGATCCAGAAGAAAATTGACTATATCTCTATGGAACATTCCCTGAAGGCCCTTGGAGGATTCAAATAAATAGAAACAAGCAGGGGGATTACACCATTAGACTGTCTTGAAGACTTTGCCTTTTTTGTTGTGTGAACTCTACACATGGCAGTAAACACCCATGTTTCTCATTTGTTCCTGTGTTTCATGCAGCTGTGTGTTTGTGTGTGTTTTGTTTCTCTCACTTACAGGCCGCATGGGATGTCCACATCCTGGTTGCGATGGCCTGCTCATTCAAAAGCTGGAAGTCAATAGTCACCCAAATTTGCACAGACTTATCGATGTGTTTTAGAGGACAGTGTGACAGTATGGCTTAGTTTACAAGCTATATATACGAAAATTATCCTCCACCAACTGAGCTGTAAGAGATCCTAAGAGTTTGGACGGGCGGGCAATACGCTTTAAGGGATTAGGAAGATAGTAAGATCACTAAGACAACCCGGAGCTGTACCATTAAGAGCTTTGAATGTCATAAGCAAGTCCTTGAAGTCAGTGCGGAACTTAACAGAAAGCCAGTGTCAACTGTAAAAGCCTTGAGTAATATGCTCAAACTATAATAATAAGCACAAGCACACAAATTGCTGCATCCTGAACTATCTGGAGCCTATTTAAAGAGACCGCAGGGCCAGCAGTTACAGTAGTCTAATCAAGTGTTCATGAAAGCACGGACTAATTTATCAGCATCCTGTGGGTTTAGCATGTCTTATTTTGGATTTGCTTCTCAAGGGACAAAATGCAGTCTTTGAGGTGTTACTTATTATGGACTCAGATGATACAGTAGGATCCAGTGTTACACCAAGTAGAGTGAGTAGTTCAGTTTAGGGTATTTTTTCAAACATTTTCTGCAGGGTGTTGTCTACAGCTTCAGTTCAGGCTTAGAAATTGGCTGCATTGTCTGTTTCTCATGATCCAAGTAAGCAAGAGTGGAGCTTGATTTTCTGATGAAAGCTTTAAGTACTGTTCATCAGATGGTGACAGATTTGGTGGTCTGTCAGGCCTTGTGTGGTTGTTAGGAGTCTCATGTTCTCTGTGTCTTTTAATAATTTAAAAAAAATCTTTTTCAGTTTTAGAGAATTTTTTTTTTTTCTCGGACTTTTCCCTTCCTTATGCATGCGAATTGTCTTATATCTGATCTTCAGAGAAATACTAGTACTTCTGAATCTTATAAGTTTGATCAATATGGCCCTATATTGCATTGACTAAACAGATTCACAAATTCACATACTGCGCTGCGTATTCCGGTGTCCTGCTCTCCATTTGTGTGTGACCGTTCATCACTGATGTGCCGCATGGGGCCCTGAAAATGACAAACAACCTTAAAGAGTTCCGGAATTCTGACTGAACGATGGAATGGGAATGTTTGAGAAGGCAGAGCAGCTCCATGTTTGCCTCTAAGTTGTGTCTGGTTAAGGAAAGCGCAGATGGAGTACTTGGCAGCAGCGTGTGCTCAGACAATCCTTGTCCATTTATAGCAGCGCAAAGGACATAGACCAAAACATCTGCTCTCCGTTCACGGTCGGGCCCGGATTGACTGCACTCGCTTTGGGCCTCATAATCCGTCACTGACTGTAGAGGCTGTATTTTTAGTATTTGACCGTGGTTGTGTTTGTGTGTGAATATCATAGCAGCAGCAGCTGTTCACTTTCTTTCATACAGGAAGAGTATACGCACAGACATTAGTTCAGTTCTTTCTTTAACCCCTTAAAATCACAGGCTTATTACATACTACGACTTATTATTTAGTAACTACAGGTGCAAACTGGCTGAACTACTCTTAGGTTACCGAAGTGTGTAATAAAACTTTGGGCCCACCAGCAGGCCCTGGCCATTAAGGGGCTAAAGGAGTTGAAGTTTGAAATGTGCTTCTTTAGTTTTGCGCTGGAGCCGCGAGGCTAATGCAGCTAACAAGTAATGTAAGCTTATAACCACCCATTAGCATAAACTGTTTGAAATTTTATTCTTTAGTTTCCCACTCAGGCTACGAGGCTAATGCAGCTAACAAGTAATGTAAGTTTATGACCTCTCATTAGCATAAACTGCTTGAACTTTGCTTCTTTAGTTTTCCACTCGAGCTGCGAGGCTAAAGCAGCTAACAAGTAATGTAAGCTTATAACCACCCATTAGCATAAACAGAGTGTGTTAGCTAAAAAACAGTACTAACAGCCGTTTTGAAGCCTGAAAAACGTACTTTTGTCCAATTCACTAGATAACAATATGGCAAACAGTGTCAGAAACCACAAAAGCCAGTCTATTTGCGATTGCTTGGTACAGTTTGAAGCAGCTGTGTGATTATTTAGACATGCAGTCATGCTATGCTAGTGTGGTATAAGCTTTCATTACTTGTTAGCTACAATAGCCTCTCAGCTCTAGTGGAAAACTAAAAAAGCAACCTTTAAACTGCCATGGAGGTTTATAAGCATCTATTACTTGTTAGGTGTGTTAGCCTAAAGCTGTAAAGCAGCTTTAGACACTAATGTCTTGGCTCTTCCTGTGAATTTGAAACTCTTCCTTTAAGCGAGAGGAACGCTGGTCATGACAAATGACATTTCACACCCAAAAGTTCCAACCAGGTTATGCCAACCGAGCTGTTTTGCCTGCTTGGTCACATGACTGAGGAAAGCTATACTTATTAGTGGATAAGTCACTTGAATCATCAGCGTTCAATGTGGGTCATATGATTGGCTGGAATGCGTGCCATGGGTCACATGACAGGCTGGGGGGTTTGTGGGGGAAAATGAGAGAGAGAGAAGAGTACAGTGGAATGAAGCATGTCATGTCTAATGCCTGCTGACTTGTTTCATATCAAACACACGTCTCTTAAAGGGCCCACATCATGGAAGGCTAAATTATTTTGAAATGAGTCTGATGCAGTATGTAAACGGTTACGTTTAAAAATGTATTGTTCACTCCAGTACAGTCCGTCTGTAGAAACTAAATTGCAAAACAGCTTAATTAGTTTTTGTGTGATGTCATGAAACCTACACATCTACATATATCCACGTATTCAGCCTATAACAGTTAAGCTCCACCCACTAAAGCTATAAGGAGTGTTTCAGCCCAGGCTGCTTTTGAATGAGGCACAGTACAGTACAGCCAATTAGAACCACACACATACATATATATATATATATAAACAAAGTTTAAAATTACAAGATCAAAAATAAATAGTATTGGTGATATAAGGTGATATAAAGTTGAAAGTTTTTAAAAATACAGAAGATATAAAAACATTATTAATTCAGGTTTAATCCTACAGTTTCTGTACATTTGGTTTACACTGCATAATTATTTAAATGTTAATACATGATGACATAGTTTATTACAGTTACATCATGAATTAGATTTACATTACATTTACATTTGAATTCTATAGTGACAGGTTTGAGTCTGGTGCCCTCTCCTGTTAAAAAAAAAGGCTGCATGCAACGACAGTAACACTTTCCAATGGATTTCTGTGCTACAAATGAGAAGCAATTCACATAAATTTGCACTATTCATTTGTTATCACTGGTGACTTCTAAGAGATTTTGTATGTGCAGGTGTGAGTTTGTCTGTAATCTCAGGCTGAAGTTATGATTAGGTTAGTCTAAAGCTTGTTATAGCTGACTGTACTCTGTTCTGTTTACATGCAGCAAGGAGCTATGGGAGACGACGAGGTAAAGTCCTGTGCCATGCTGTGTGTGTTAGCATGGTTCAAATATGTGCCCTTGTTTTTTGTGTGCTTGTGTGTGTGTGTGTGTGTGTGCTTGTGTGTGTGTGTGTGTGTGTGTTCGTATTAGGCTTGTATTCACAGCAGTTTTAAATGAGAGTGACATCTGACTGTATTAGCCTGCAGCAGATCTCATTGAAATGCCAAATATGATGTGCACTTTGAGTTTCATAATGAACGCCGTCGTGGTGGATAGTAATGAAGTACATGTGGTACTTTCTTAGTATCTGCTATTGAAGGATGAATGTATTTTCTTTTTTTTTTGCTTTTGCTTTTGCTCCACTAAATTTACAGTTCAATATCATACTTTTTAATCCACTGCTTTCTACAAGAGATGAGACAGTTTCACAAAAAGTGCCTCATCGGCCTCCCTAGCCAAGGACAGAGGGAGAGACCATCAGCAATGGACAAATTAAAGGGGAGGAGGAAATTTTTTGCGGGCTGTCACTAGCACAGCTATCACAATCAGTGGCTGAACCATTGAATTATTTTCCCAATCATGGCCTGCGTTACAGGTTTTGCATGAGCAAATTCAGGTTGCAGATGCTGCTTCAGCAAATCAGTCTTGAGTCAGCCGCCCACTTCAGTCAGCTCTTCCAGCTGATTAAGCTTCCAGAATTCATCATTATGTACATATGCCGTATTATTCATGTACCAAGATATGGTGGCACCACCTCACCTGCCTTTCTGTTTTTTCTCATCGGCAGGACGCTCCTCCCTGTTTCCCCTTGACGACGGCCTCCTTGACGACGGGCATGGCAACCAGGGTGTTCCAGGGGTTCTGGGCTCCCCCAACTACCCACATCAGAACGGGGAGCGCATCGAGAGGTTTTCTCGTAAGGTGTTTGTGGGTGGCCTGCCCCCGACATAGATGAAGGTGAGCAGGGAGAGAAAAACACTTTGAGATTTTTCTTTTTAAATATGTCTGATTATGTTAGATGTCTTGCCTTGAGCTTTCACAGACTTCATAAGCTCACTTCTTTTAACATGTGTTACCAAGTCTTATTCTCGAGTATTTGTATGTATTATTTACTCTTTATCTCTTTATTTTGAATGACTCTCTTTCTCTCTCTCTCTCTCTCTGCATATGCAGATGAGATCACATCCAGTTTCCGGCGCTTTGGGCACCTGGTGGTTGATTGGCCGCACAAAGCAGAGAGCAAATCCTACTTCCCCCCAAAAGGTACTTATACATTACCTGCTAAAACATCTCCCAGTGCTGTGCATTAGTTGTATTATTTATAATAAGAATGGAAATTGACATGAAGGTGTAATTAAGGTATTTTTTTAAATTTCAAATGTAATTTAAATGAACAATATTCAAATTCAAGGCTGAACTGAGGTTAAAGTCGGCACCCAGAGTAGTTGATGCCTGTGCATGTTCATGTTAGAACAAATCGCATTAGTAAGTTTTAGGTCTGAAACTGACTTTGAGTCACACAAAATTCTTTCCGAAACTGACCGCAACCAGCTTATTATCACAAAAGTGCCAAATAAAATCTGATATTTACAATTAACTGATTTCAGAGAGAACAGAGATGAGAGTGGGAACTAGGATGTGAGATCTTGAATATTGAACGCGACCCAAGCACAACACATATTTGGGAAATGACGTCCGAACCCAAAGTAAACAGTCAGGTCTCAATTGAATTCAAACAAATATTTCATGCTACAGTCCACGTAGGTCATAGCAAAATGGATCAGCATGTGGAATTGGAGCTTTTATATTACTGAATAAAAGAAGCATTGTGCGGCCTTCATTGTTGGGTGCATCGTGATGTGCGCGCATTCAGAACACAATTATATCTTTAAGGGCTTATTACTGGTATGTTTCATCAGAATAATAATAAAACACTAGAAGTGTGAAGTATATTTATACTCATTTGTGCACAACCCATTCCTGCTCATTTAAACTTTCTGACACAAACAAAATAAAGACAGACAAGTTTTCAGTTTAGCATATCATGTTTTTTTCATGTTAAAGTAAATGTGACAACAGCATTGAGAAAAGAGAGTTAAACAGCAAAAGGCCACACTAGTTCCTCACTGTCATAACTATGTCACTTACATATTAGTTTAAAATTAGTTCATTAAGAAGAGTTAATGAAAGAATAATAACCAAATGAGAAGCCTGCAGTCTGAGAGGTTAATATATGCATTTATTAATTTATAAATATCGTTAAAGTGTATATTGGCATTTGTAATGATAGTTACATAGAAGATCCAAATGCTAAGTAAACTGAAATGAAGACATCTAAACCCATATGAAATACTTCAAACCCATGTGCAGAATTCAAGCCCCATATTGTCTTTATGTCAATACATCAAATCTAAGCGTGCCCTTGTTGCAGCCTCTGACGGTCAGTTTCTTTCTTCTGTTGCCAAGGTTACGCCTTTCTGCTGTTCCAAGAGGAAAGCTCTGTGCAGGCGCTGATTGAGGCCTGTCTGGAGGAGGACGGAAAGCTCTATCTGTGTGTGTCCAGCCCCACCATCAAAGACAAGCCGGTGAGTCCACCAAACAACCACTCTAATAAACTGAGAACCTGCATGTGAGACATCTTCAGCTGCATCCATCAGCCTCAACGATTTGACTGATGTACCACTGATGTTGAGGCGAACCCACTTTAGGTATACAAGCGGTTGCAGTTTTTCAAATGTTCCTCCCTTCTTTAAGAGGCTGTCCTAGTTTCAAAACGGAAAATCTCACTCTCGAGACTATTGCAGCACCACTATCAGTGACCAGTAGCCATGTTAATGACAGATGTAGCAATTGTGAAATTTTTAATTTCGGCTGGAGCGCTCCTTTAATGTAATGATGTGTGGAAAATAATCACCATGACTCAAATAAATACGTTAATACACAAATAAATGAAGTTACAGCGGTCATTTTCCATAGATCACTGGAGTAAACGCTAATCTAATTTGAGCTGTGCCATGCAGCATGCGTGACTGGGAGTCCATGGGGAGTGTAGCTGCATGCATTCCCAGAAGGGATTATATGATATACTATAAAAAAAAAGCAAAAACTGTATTAACCAAAACTGCTTGTGTACTTCATATTAAATGCTGTGTCAGATGCAGCAATACATTTGTCTAACATAATCTATGACATCACCCATGATTGAAATGACTAAAAAGGCAGGTTTATAGGGCTTTTGTTCTTTGTGGTACTACCAATGCTCCTTAATATCATCAAATATCATTTTTTCTGGGTTTTTTTTTATTGTGTTTGAAAACTAGCTGCCCTTTACATTGTGTAAACACTGAACAGACCAATGTTAACAACTTTGTACATTCAAATTAAAGGACATTCCTAACAAAATGAAAAATTGAACCATTGCTGCATCTGTTATATGCCCACTCACCTCCTACAGTGGTGCCACAAACATCTTGGGAGTGAGATTTTCTGGATGAAAGAACAGGAAAACCTCTTTCTAGTGTTGTATACTAAAGGTGGAAGGAACTTTTGAAAAACTACAAACGCTTGGATACGTGAGGGTGGGCTATTTGATTTTCTTTTGGTTGCTGACAAATGCAAAGGGAAGCCAGCCAACTAACTCTGCTTCTTGGAAGTCAATGCATGTCTGTTTTTATTAGGCTCTACATCAGTGGATTTCTTTAACACTGTTAGAGCAGATTCCCAGTGTTAGTATCATGTATTTGCGTAAGGCATCCTGGGGTAGTGAGACAAATATTGTGGAACAAAAACACAAAAAGGAAACCAAACCGATGAGGCTCAGGGATGCAGTGCTGCACTACAGAATATTGCATAATATAACAAATAGCATTAAATGCTAGATGTAGGCCAGAATGCCCCTTTAAGAAAGTTTTCCATGTTTTAATAATAAATAAAGTAATTAATACAACACTAATATAGTATTCATACATATCATACTGTGTATCATAATATGTAGATTTTATTGTACTGGTTATAAAAAATTCTTTCTGCTATTTGTTTGTCCTTCTTGGAATAAGGATAAGGAAGCCACACTAACTTTTTTGTTGATTAGTCAGGGTGTTAATCCTTACATTATGACCTGACTTGTTTTTCTTGCAGTCTACCCTGTAAAAGAATGATTTGATGCTTTTACTTAATGTTAACCTAGCGGCCTTTAAATTTAGATTTATTCAAAATTCAAAATACAGCCCATAAAATGTTGATGCTACCATACTATTAGATATACACTGAACTGTTTGAGGCAGCCAGATTAGTCACTTTTCTATCGTCCCCCTCTTATAGATAGTAGTAATGCAATATGTTATATGATCTGATTGAAGCTTTATTCTTTATTCTCTAATCAGAAACCTTTCTGTTTGAGGCTACGGTAAGGTCTGTTTTCTGTAGCCTCATACAGAAAGCCTGCAGAGTTTTTATTTAGCTCTGTTTGCTATTGAAGTTTATTGACGTGTTATCCAGGTTCAGATCCGTCCTTGGAACCTGAGCGACAGTGACTATGTGATGGACGGCTCCCAGCCTCTCGACCCCCGCAAGACCATCTTTGTGGGTGGAGTGCCACGCCCTCTAAGAGCAGGTAACACCTTTTATATGCCTCAAAACCTGCTACAAGAGTACACCTGCTATAGGATTATGTTAGTTAGTTAGGTGTAACTAAGGGCGTAGACTGAAAAGGCTTTTAAATGGGGAATCACCATTGAAATTATAATTTAATCCAAAACTAGGGTCCAAAAACTACACCATGTCCAATTACAATGTCCAAGAAAGCTATTCTATGTATTTGGAGTGATGTGACATCTTGTGTACCTGTTCCCATTAGCTGGCCTAAGTTAACATTCCTAAAGAAGTAGTTTAGTGTTGTCACTGCTTTAACACACCTGATTTGGCTCATGAAAAGCATGACAGTAAACTGCTGAGTTTATTAGCATAGAAAGCACTAAACTGTAGTGCTACAGAAACTGAGAAACACACTAAGGTGTATATGTATACAGCGAGAATGCTAGAGTACAGTAATTAATGCAACTGGTAGGCTGTAGTAATGCTGCTCTTGAAGTAGGCATTCATATTCTTACAATATTTTTCTTATGTTTTATTCAAATACTTACTCGGATATTTAAACATGGCTTTTGCAATATCTGTCCTCCAGTTGAGCTGGCTATGATCATGGACCGTCTGTATGGTGGCGTGTGCTACGCGGGAATCGACACTGACCCTGAGTTGAAGTACCCAAAGGGGGCGGGGCGTGTGGCCTTCTCCAATCAGCAGAGCTACATCGCAGCCATCAGCGCCCGATTCGTCCAGCTGCAGCACGGTGACATTGACAAACGGGTATGGGAGCCAATAATAGTTTCTGTGTGTTTGAACATGAGCAAATGAAAATGAGTGAATATATACCATAACACACAACGTTAAAGAAGGCTTATAAAAATATCAGCTTTCCAGCAAAGCTAAATTCAGGTATTTCCATTGTCGTTGTTGACTACATCAAACATAAATTCACTGGACTATACCAAACAAATGTGCCAAGCTAGATGCCATTTCTCAAAAGCATTGCTGCATAAGACTGATGTCAAAGCAACTGTCACTTTCAACACTGAATCATTTAGAGCACAGGTTCCCAACCCTGGTCCTGGAGAACCCCCTGCCCTGCACATTTCAGTATTTTCCTTGCTTCCAACGCACCCACTTTAAGTCATGAAGAGCTTGTTAATGAGCTGATTAGTTGGATCAGGTGTGTTGGGAGCAGGGAAACACTAAGATATGCAAGGCAGGGGGTCCAGGACCAGGGTTGGGAACCACTGAGTTAGAGATATAGTCCAGCTTTTTTTGATTCTGGTGGGGGTTTTTACCTTCCATAGCCCACGACAGGGGCCTAGGATTGCATCTATTTCTCGTTGCAGAAAAGTAAAAATTGTAATTATAATTATAATTTTAACATATTTACTGAAATTATTTTGCATATTAACATTATTCAGCTTAAGACATCAGCTAATAAGAGCTAGTATTCTGGCTACATTAGCATGGAAGCATATGGATCTTCGTTTTAATGTATTTTATACCAACAGTTTTTAAGATGTTTTGGAGAAATATGTTGGAATATTCCTTTAAGGCACTGGTCACTAACCCGGGTCCTGGATGTCTACAACCTGCATCTACCCTGCTGCCCAATCTCCATACCTACACGAATGCATCTGATTTAGCCAGTCAAGAACTTCTGAAGAAGTTCATTAGGTGGAGTAGGTGTGGTAGATTGTGGTTGAAACTAGACTCCGCAGGTGGTCTTCACAGTAATGCCAAGTCTTGAAACAAATGTCAAGACACTATGTTGAAGCTAAGCTTGGTCTCTTGCCTGCAGGTGGAGGTGAAACCATACGTGCTTGACGACCAGCTGTGCGATGAGTGTCAGGGGGCTCGCTGCGGCGGGAAGTTTGCGCCTTTCTTCTGCGCTAATGTCACCTGCCTGCAGTACTACTGCGAGTTCTGCTGGGCCAACATCCACTCCCGCGCCGGCCGCGAGTTCCACAAGCCACTGGTCAAGGAGGGAGCTGACCGCCCCCGCCAGATCCACTTCCGCTGGAACTAACAAGCGCATGGAAACACAGAGAGGGTGGCCAAGTTAGGCCAGGCAGCGCTGCGTGTACGGCAAGAAAAAAAGTGCTTCAAGCCCAAGTTATCAGTATAGAGCACCTAACAGTATACAGTATATAGAGATCTATGAATATATTTATCTTTATCTTTTGTAGCAGCCAGACACACTACACGCCTCAGTTTTTGTTTTGTTTTTGGTTCACCAAACCACCCCTACCTTTTGCTCCTCTTCTCCCACCCACCCCCACATCTCAGGCTCAGAACAGAGTGTATTTGTGGTACTTTCATGTTTTTTAAAAAAGGAGATTAACAAAAAAGAGATTGATTTTTTTGTAGTTTTTTCAAATTATTTTTATATGTGAGATTTAAAAAAAAGTAGATATGAGAATGTCTTTTGCTTGGGGGGCAGCCAGTGTGTCCGTCTGTCCGTCTGTGTGCTGCTAACCCCCCCTCTAGTGGGCAAAGTGCGCAATTGTCTCTGGAAAACCCTTGATGACGTAATCTCTGATGCCTGCCCTGGGTCTTCAACCAAAGGTAGCAAAATGATAGGAGGCATGAAAATGAGACATTTCTGCCATAGAAAACGATATTTTTCTCCCCTCTATTGTTTTTATGTGCTCTTAATAGTTAAAAAAGGACGATTCTAAAAGAAGATTAGAGTTCTCTCCATTTTTGACCTGCAAAAAGCGATTAATACCTCAAACCTGCGGATCTGGTTTGTTATTGCTCTATCTGGCAATTTAATCACAAGCTATATGAGACGCTTTGCTGCTATAATTCTGATATAATTGCTAGATGTATAGTTGTGATATCTAAAGGCATCTTTAACGGAATCGTGTGAAAAATCTGAATCGAAATGCAGTGTGCACTCTCGCACGGGCGGAAGAATGGAATGTGAAAAAAACATAAGTGCATGTTTGTTGTCCTTGCATCGTTTGCATGCAGTAGGGTATAGAGGTTTCCAACACGTATAGGAAAAAAAAAAACAGGATTCGTTTTACTGATAAACCGAACACTATGTAGCATGAGAGATAAAAAAAATACATTAGACTCTCAAGTATAAGATAATATCAATAACGGTGAACATTAAGGAATACTAAGTCTAAAATTCTTACTAAAAACCTTTTGCATGCATTGATGTGATAATTTGTTTACATACATTGTTCTATGGAAAAGCGTCATTACTTCTTAGGTTAGCAACTTTTCCCCATTTCGTGTATCAGTGGTTAGTGAAGAAGCCGTGTGCTGTCCAGTGCTCGTGTGTCTCGTCTACGTGTTGTGCGACTCTATTTATGTGTGGATTCAGGTTTTAGTTTAGTTACAACTTAGAGGAAAGTTAGAACATCTCAACATCTTGCCTTTGCCCCACTTAACCACCCCTCCCCTGTATGCCACATGCCCTCACTGGCTAAAAGGCTGCTGGTTTTATTATATACCACTCAAAACATAGTTTTGATCTAGTTATCCCATTACTGTAGGTATGAGTGTGTGGAGGTGATTCTAGAAGGAAGCTTATTCGCCTTTGCGTGAACGGAGGACGCCGCTCCTTCGAGGACACTTCGTCTCTTTTGCTCTGGACCTTGCTGTCCTTCAGTTATCAACACGTGACTGTTTGATAAATGTAAAAAAGAATAATCAGTAGATGTAGATTACAGATATAGGTGGAGATGGACCTAAAAACCCAGGAGAGTTAAGGAAAATGCAACCCAATCAATAACAAAAAATTATGTTTTTAACGTAAGAGTTTTTTGTAATGAATCGTTGATTTTTGTCTGCACAGTTCTCGTTGTCCTGTCCCATCTTATTGTAATCAAGAGCAACTCTGTAGGCAGTGTTAGGGACAATCTTCCTGTAAGCAATGGATGCTGTTCAGTGAAGCAGCGTTTTGGTACTGTATTTGTGTTAGTTTATCTTTAGCTATCTTTCTGTACTCTCTATACTTTGTTTGGCTGTCTTTCTATCAAACTAGCTAGCAAGCTGCTAGCTATCTTTACTATCTTTCCTATTTACACTCTTTGTTTGGCTGTCTCTGTCTGTCCATCTAGTTAAATAGTTAGCTAGCTAACTGCTAGCTATCGTCTTATAATCTCTCTGTCTTGCTGTATCTGTGAGAGTAGCGTGCTAGATATCTAGCTAGCTGCTAGCTGTCTTTCCACACTCAGTTTGCTGTCTGTCGATCTAGCTAGACAGCTAACTGCTAGCTATCTTTGCTATCTTTGCTGTCTGCAGTCTTTGTTTGGTTCTCTATAACTATCAAACTAGATAGTTAGTTGGCTAGCTGTCTTTCTAAACTCTCTAGGTTAGCTGTGTCTCAAAGGCAAGGATGCAGCCAAGGAAGGCTGTGTTTTATGGCCATTACACCAGCTAAAGTGGTCCCCTTTTGTAGGACAGCAAGAATGTGGCCTAGAAATGGGTCCTTCATTTCTGAGAATTCGAAGGCCTAAACTGGTGTATCCTTCAAGAACTTTAGTCCCCCTCAATCTTTCACACGCAGCGCAAAACCGCTCAAAAAACAGTGCAAAGTTAGCACTGAAGAGGAGCTAGCAAGGCCTCTCCTACTTGACTGCAGCCTTCACTTTGAGGAACGTCTAGCTAGTTAGCCAGCTAGCTGCAACATATTGTCCTACACTTTCTTTAGCTCTCTATATCTGTTAGTCTAGTTAGCTGCCTGCTGGCTGTCATCCTAATCTCTCTTCATTTGGCTTTCTCTATCTGTCAGTCCAGCTAATAAGCTAGCTGTTAGCTACCTTCGTGTACTTT